TAATTTGTCATAGAGTTGAAAATGGATATTTTCACTATAAAAGTCCAAATTAAAAATAAATAAATAGATGAGGAAGATCAAATATTATAATTTTTAGTTTAAAGGGGTAAAGTAACACAAAGTGTAATTTAGGCTTGGTTTAACTATCATTTTGAGTTAAAAAAAAAGTATAAAATGACAAAATAAGTTAAATAGATTAATAAGACAAAATATTACATTCAATTTATAATCATTATACTTTTTCTCTTAAAAAAATTAAAAAAATTAAAAAAAATTCAAATTAAAAAAATTAAAATTATATTAATCAATGTCAGACAAAGCTTTAGTGCGAAAATTATCCTTAATGGAGTCATATAAAGGTCCTCCACATGCTGTCGTGTTTTTCATCCCAACGATGGGGACAGAGGGCCAGTCCATATATATTCACACTTCTTTGCAGTGATGGGACATCATATTTTGATAGGACACACATTTTGTATGGAGAAATCGAAATGTTCCGATCACAAAACAATAAAAAGTAACAAATCAAATATACAGAACACAACATTTACATGATTTGGAACTGTGTTTACATTTACATAGGAGAGAAAATCAAATCTACTACTATGCATAATAATAGTATTACCAAGGTCAGTCTTGTTGCACACAAATCTCAGTTTCGGGATATTTTGAGAAGTTAGTTAAAAGTTTATTTTTTGATTTTTTTAATTTATTTTGTCTTTTTGTGTGAGTAAGTTATGTGAGAGACGATGTGGTCAAAAATGGATAAAAAGCTGAATGTTGACTTTTTACCAGCTTCTCAAAAGAGCACTCAATCACAAAATCAATGGAGCAAAATAAACAAGTACAAAAATACAAGATAAATGTGATTTGGGGTTGTTTGGGGTGTCATAAATAAGTGCACTTTTTGAATTTTTAGACTAAAAAGTTGAGGAAAAAAATATAGTTGTTCGGGTTAACTTTTGGACTTTTTATGAAAAAATGAGTATTAAAAAATTGTATAAATTAGTGTGTAGGAGTAGATTTGTTTTTTGGGTTGTACGGTTGTCCTTCATGCACAGATTGAATAGATGGTAAGAAGTAATTGTCTACTTTTCAGGCATTTCACTGGACGGTGCTTTTCGGCTGGTGGGGGCCATCACGGCTCCCGTTTTGATAATTTAAACCGTTGAATGTGTAGCACTCGTCGAGTACTATATGCTTGTAAAAAATCATATTGATCGGATATCGATAGCTATCTGATCAGATTTATTTTTTTTCAATCGTTAACTGTAACACCATCTTCTTTTTTTTTTTATAAAAAACTGATTTGATCATGTAGTTATCGATATTCGATTAACATGATTGTTTACGGACATATAGTACTCGACGAGTTATACACATTGAACGATTCAGATTATCAAAATAGGACCTGTGATGGGCCCCCCACAGGCTGAATAGTAGTGTGTTATAATTGCACCCCAACTGTGCAATTTTCCTTTTGAACTGCAGCACAGATCTGACTTATTGTGATTGATGAGTTGTATTTTTGTGTGTAAAATTAATTTTTAATATTTTTTTTGGTAAATAATGATAACTTTTTAACTTTTTGAGTAACTTTTTGATTTTTTGTCTTTTTTGAAAGATGCCAAACTTGGCCTAAGTACATCTACGAAGAAGAAAAAGAGCTGAAATTCACTATATGCAATAAGAATTATAGAGCTCTTAACTTCTTAATTTAATCATTCTTCAGTGAACATTAAAAATATGAAACATCTCATAGTAGGTCTAACGACCTCAATCTTTTATTTTTCTTGAAAGTCCCCTATAATAAGATTGTGTTTGGATTATAAATGTGAGTACAAATTTCAAAAAGTGAAAAAAAAAATGTAAATGAAATATAATTTTTTTTTTCTCACTTTATTCATTTATTTTTTTAATTTTTACCTAAACCCATAATCTAAACACCTAAATGTGCAGTAAAAAAGTAATAAAATGCAAGACACATGTACAACCCATTTCACAAACGTGTTCCTCATTGAAGTGAGGAACTTGAGGGAAAAAACAAAAAACAAAAACAAAAACAAAAGGGGCCGCTGAGTAAAAAGTTAAATTGGGAAAAAGGGTTCTCTCACATAAACACAATTAATTGATTCACACAACTGTTTTTAACTCTTTGTTCTATTTTCGTCATCAAAACAAGTGTTTTTACCTAACCATTTTGATGATGTTTTAAATTTCTGTATACCCATTTATTTTGAGCATTTTAAGGACATCACTCACATGAGGGAAATGTTTTTTTTGTTTTTTTTTCTTCGTTTGTTAAGGAGAATATGAATAGGGTGTAACTTTATACAAGTTAAAAGTTAATACTGAAAAACAAAAATTAAAAGCACCTCTCTGCCTATTTTTTAGTAAAATGTTTTTTTTTTTTTTGTGCTTATTTAAGTTATTTTTATCTCATAAGTTATAAATAAGAAACTACAACAAACACACTATCACAACGTTTCAAAATAAAAAAAAAAAAAAAAAAAAAAGAAGCTATAAACATTTCCCTTCCATTTTTTTTTTCCTTCACAAATTTCTATTCAAATGTATAATCCAAACACAGTTTAGTCTTCATTCACATTAATTAGTGTGTTGCTATTATTGAAGATTGAGAAAACCAAAATCTCTAAATTCCAATTCTTGGTGCCCTTGGGTTCGAAGAATGTTTCCTCTATTTGGTGTACTCACTTTTATTAATAAAATTTTCTTTTGTGGATTATAAAATAAACTTGTAAAACCACTAAAGAAACAGAGATATTGTATTGGTATCCCTGTCACATGTATAATTCATATTACAAATACTGACAATCATGTGACAAAGATATTCTTTAAAACACATCACATATTGATAATAATTCACTTTAAATGAATGAAATACTGCGGGCCAGTCATTCACTGGAAATTGTATAAACAAAAAAGAAACAGAGATATTGTATATCATCATTTCCCCCACAATTTATTAATTGAAAGAAAATTATTATTTGCTATAAAAGAGATTTCTTGAGGCTTGAAAAATGTACAATGTTTGAGAAAATTGATATATATATATATAAGTAAGAGAGAGAGAGAGACAGAGAGAGAGAGAAAAAGAAGAAATATGTCGAGAACGGAAATTTTAAAAAGATAGGACAGTTGCTGAAGATGATACTCAATACACTAAGTAGTCTTGACTATGGATTATGAATTAAATGACTTAGAAGTAGCTGTTAGCTCAAAGTGGGGCCACCTAAGCAGGTGCATAGATAAGGGGTGGACGCAGATCGGTTGCGATCGCGGGTCGGTTGCGGTCACGGAATTTTCAATCTGCCATCCGTCCGTTAGATTGGCGAATTAGAGAAAATTAATTTGCATCCGTCCGTTAATTCGGCAGATGTGAATTGAGCGAATTGGAGGATTGAAGCGAATCGGTTTGACGGTTTAAAGTTTTATAAATTTTCAAGATAATTCAACTTGTGCACTTCCTTAAAAAAAAAAAAAGTATTACAATCAATGACTTGAAAAAGTCTGCATTCCTCATCCATATATTACAATCACAATATGCTTCATCCACATAAAATATTACAATATGTGGTTCTTCAAATATAAAAACAATTCAAACTACCAATATCATGAATAGAGTAGTAGTTACCCTTAGGGGCCAACCCAAGGAAAAAAAGTACTTGGAAACCAGTGGTGGAGAAGTTTAAAAAGAAATTAGCATCTTGGAAGAGGAGATTCTTGTCATTCAACTTGTGCACTTCCTTAAAAAAAAAAAAGTATTACAATCAATGACTTGAAAAAGTCTGCATGCCTCATCCATATATTACAATCACAATATGCTTCATCCACATAAAATATTACAATATGTGGTTCTTCAAATATAAAAACAATTCAAACTACCAATATCATGAACAGAGTAGTAGTAAAGATGGTATGCTTCTGTATTATTACATCCATATCTGTTTTTGAAAACCAAAGCCAACTAACATATATATCATCTTATTTATTTATTATTTTCAGAGTTAGATTTACAAATCAAAAAATATAAATAAATAGTACATTTATTTTTTTCAATTCAAAAAATATATTCAAGTTGAAAACTCTTTTTCAACAGAATATATTCAACATAATATTTAATTTTTTTTTTTCAATTAAAAGTACAAACAAAATATCTAAACAAATTGAAAACACAAAGTCTTACAAATTACTAATGGTGCTCACGGTTTGACGGTTCGATTGCGGCCAAATGAACCTCAAATCGGCCATCCGTCCAAAACTAAGCGAATTAGAAAAAATTAATCTACAACCGTCCGCTGGTCATCACACATCCGTCCAAAATGCGGCGAATCGATTCGGTTTTGTCGATTTGGGCGGATCGATATATCTGCTGCTCACCCCTAATAGACAGTCAAATATTTGGAGTGATTTGATCTTCAGAATCCTATAAGACAAATATTAATGGATTTGGCTCAATGTTAGTTGATTTACTCCGAAAGGTTATTCAAATTTGATTGGAAACGGTTCAATGAGCAATGACACAACTTTGTTCGACTTGAGCCAAATTTTGGACAGATTTCTTCATTCAGGCCTTTAAATTGGTATTTTTTTTTATTATTCTACAAAGTAATTGATTTTCTTGTAACTACGGCTAAAAATTATTCAAAATTTCATCCGAAAACATAAATATATGATCTCAATTTATTATATATACATGACTTTTACAGTACACCAATTAAATCTTAGCTACATTTGTACATTCTGAATAATTTTTAAAAAAAATCCTTTTTCTGTGTAAGTATCTTTTCTTATTACCCTTACATAGCAATTCAAATTATCATCTAGATTCAAGGTCCTAAATCACATCCAATAAACAAGAACCCAATAAAGTGGCATTATTGCAATGCTGCTAATAAAAATTCTCGTACAGGTGTGAACTTTAATGGGTGGGGTTTCTACCTAAAAAAAGTATTTCGGCCATAAAATAGTTTTAAAAGGGGCCAGGTGTGATCACATCAATTCTCAACTTGTCCATGAAGAGATTGCAGAGAATCTTGGAATCCTAGGCCCATCTCAAGATCTCAAAACCCTAACTAACCCACATTTCTTCTTCTTCTTCTTCTTCTTCTTCTTCTTCTTCTTTAATCTCAAAGCTTTCTATAATGTTTCCTTTCCATCAAAACGATGATTTGTCTCAGATCCCTTGTACTACCCACCACCAACAACACGGTATCGATCAAGATCTGATCTTTTCTGGTCTTGATTCTCTTGAACTTGAAAGAGTTAATAATTCTTCAGCTACCAACTACTTGACAACTACCCAAGACTCTGAACATACAAGTACTGGTGTTGTGGACAAAGATAAGAAGATCAACCGTAGCGATATAGAACGAAAAAGAAGACGCGAAATGAGTACTCTTTATGCTTCCCTTCGATCCGAGCTGCCTCTTGAGTACATCAAGGTGATCACTCTCTACTTCCTTCTTATTTTCCTTTCCTCATATATATACACACAAATCTTGTAAAATTTAATAGGCTTTGTCAATTTCCTTTGATTATGCAACAAAAGGAAAATTATTTATACAAGCAGAATATTTATACAAAATATTCCGAGCCACAACAATGCATGTTTTGACTTGAAAAGAAAAGGACTACGATGTACAAAAATTCAGTTTGTCTAAGTACTAGCTGGGTTTTACATTTTTATGCAGTTAGGGTTGTATTGATGGGGTTTCATTTTAGGGTAAGCGTTCAACTTCAGATCACATGGAAGAGGCAGTGAATTATATTAAAAATTTGGAAAAGAATATCCAACAATTACGTCACAAGAGAGATGAGCTGAAGAAGTTTTCGAGTCCGGATTCTTTATATTCCGGGGATGGAAACTCAAGTCACTTCTTTACAGTATGCCCTTGTTTGGGAGGAGTGAAAATTGTGTTCAGTAGTGGCTTCAATGAAGAAAAATTGCAGCTATCAAGAGTGATGGAATTTCTTCTTGAAGAAGGACTTAATGTTGTTACCTGTGCTTCCACCAAAGTAAATGACAAGTTAATTCATACTATCCAGTGTGAGGTATGCATTTTTTTTTACATTTTAAATATCAGTTGGTGTGTGCTGGAATGTTGATACCAATATTTACTGATATATCAATCAATACTATCAAATATCAGCTGATATATGATTGTATAGTTATGTATCCCTATATGTTATTTAAAACCATGATCTTTAGGCAAATAATTCATTGATTGCAAAGTTGAGGCTTTATATATGTAGTTTACCTCAGGTGACTGATCCGAAGTGCTTCAATGACTCTGAGCTGCAACAGAAGTTATACAACGTTGTGACCAATGGTTGATTTAAATCTGCAAGTAGCTTTATTGCTTGGAGTTAGTTTGGGTGATGTTGCGATTTATCTGCTTGCGGATTCTTGTTATCTATTGGTTTTCTTGGTGTTGGGCACTAGAATAAGTCTACAAACCCAAAAAAAAATGCCACAAAATTAGACACATAATATGTATGAACGGATAAGATTTTATAAAAGTGGACTCGACTAACGAACCTCGTAAAATCTTATTTATTCATACATATACAGTGTCTGATCTATGATAGGTTTCCGTGTTTGTAGCAGAATTGGAGTGAATATGTAAAAAAATTACCAACTTTTTTGAGTATGGATGATTTCGAGGTGGAATGTTTGTGTTAAGCATGTTTATTCTGTAGGTTTCTATTTAACAGCTTCTCTATGTTTAATATTTGAACTCCTTCATGGCAGATTCCAATGTTCAATGCTTGCCAGTTTGCTAGTTTTGGTTTTTGAGATTCATAAAACTCTCTATGTAAACTATGCCAATGTGTGTACCCTCCTCTTTTTGTGCACCCTCTTTTATTTATTGATGTTTTGATGTTTTGCTTTGTGTACATCTTGTACCCTTCATCGTCATCAATGAAATTCTGTTTATTTTGAGATATTTAAACTTATACATGTCAATTATGCACATCGTTATTATGCATTTTAAAAGCGAACTCATTAAAGATGAACCGATTCATATGTTTATAATTTTGGTGATATGGTATTCCATAAGTTGATTATCACATCCCTAAGTACTAAAAAAATATTATTGTTTTATATTCGGTTTTTTATTTTATTTTAGTGGTAGTATTTGATACAATCCGAAACATGCATGACTGATACATGGATTGGATGATCAATTTTTTTTGTGTGTCGAGTGTCTATCGAGCAGTTGAGATGAATTCCTTTCTTTTTTTCTTTTTTTTTTCCAGCAAAAAAAAGAATAACTTTATTGATGAACAAAATAATAGTATAACAATAAAGATAAGGGATAAGTACAAAAAAACATGATAACGAAACAAATCGATTCCAACTAAGTTGACATTGATAAAATCACCTAATCATATGGTAGCACACCATCAAAGATTGGTGAGTAACCAACTACAAACCAATAAAGAAAACAAACAGCAGAAAATAGACAGCCAGCTTCCATCACAAACATCAATCCTCTATGAATCTCCTCTGCCCACATAAAACAAACAGCTATCATCACCAACCCTATAAGACCGCCCAATTATCCTGAGGACAGTGGCACATGGAAATGCTGGCTGTCAAGGATCCTTAGCTACCTTTTGATATAAGTTAGCAAAAATAAATTCATGATATCCTTTACAATTTGAGGGCACACAAAAAAGATTTTAAAAAATAAATAAATAAAAGAAAAAAGAAAATATGAAACACTTTTTGTTGACTTTTTTTTTTAACAACAAAAATATATTTTATTGATGAAAAGCATAATACATAATACAATACAACCACATCAATAAAAAAAAAGCGAATGTAAAAAGTATCACAGCACGTATGATCATCTCAATTGAATTAATACCAAAATATGTATTCTATCATTTGCTAGCATCCCAAGTTGGTGTGCAAACCAACCACAGAAACAACAAATGAAAAACAATCACCCTGGCCACCAAAAGATCAAGGTCAGCAGCACAACCTATTCTGATGCAAGACCTGGCTACCAAAAGATATAGAAATGCTTGAGAGCTTGAAACTCCTCAGGCTCGAATGGCCCGAATTCAAAACGACGTCGTTTTGGATTTTTTTTTCCTTTCCTCTTTTATTTGTGAAACGAAATAGAGGGAGAAAAGAGAGAGAAGAGAGAAGAAAGAGAGAGAAAGGGAGAAAGGGAGCCGATCTTCCCCTTCCACTCTGTCGCTGTTGACGTCGCTGCCGTCGCCTCTTCTTTTTTCACTCTGTCGCCGACGTCGCCTCTTCCTTTTCCACTCTGTCGCCACCGTCGCCTCTTCTTTTGTGTGTGTGTTTCATCGATTTGGCTTCCAGACCTATATATGTGTGTATAGGGGAGTGATATGATTTGTGGGTGGCTTTTGATTTTTCAGATCTGTGTATATGTGTGTGTGGGGGGGTTTGATTTGTTGATGATGACATGTTGATGATGACATGTTGGTGATGATGATGCTGTCTTCTTCTTTCTTCTTTTTCTTCTTCTTCTTCTTTCTTCTCTTCTATCTTCTTTCTTCTTCTCTTCTGTGAGTCAGAAAGGATGAAGAAAAGAAAAAAGAAAAAAAAAAAGAAGCCAAAATAATGTCGTTTTGGGATTTCGGGCCACTCGCCCCACAGAAAATTCGAGCTACGTAATGGGATTGCAAAAGATCAGGGTCATCAATAAACGTTTTTGAAAACACTTTTCACTTGAGTCAAGTTGGTTTGCCAACAAATTTTTCATTTAAATATAAAATAGTTGTTCAAAAACCTGAAGCATTTATTTATTATTATTATTATTATTATTATTATTTTTATTTATTTTTTATTTTTACGGGGATAAACTTTTTTTGTTACTTTTCACTAAAATCAAAATATTTTCAATTTTTCACTGAAATATTTTCAAATATTTTCCTTACTAATTTTTTCCCCAACAATTAGCAGCATTCACTAGTTGATGTAAAAGTATTCAGCAAAGCTTATCTATCACGAGTCTAGTGGGGACACCTTGGGGTTGGAAGTCTTCTCTCTTTAAATTTCATATTCAACATTTATTAGGTATTATTAATTTTTTGGGGTCCTGCCGGCAAACACATGGGGGCCAATTTGCGTGAATCCCGAAATTAGTCGGAAATGCGTTTAAATTGATGCAGACACTTGGTCATCAAATAAATATGTACCAGAGGCAATTTTCTTGCATACGTTTTATCTACAATGGAATGGTAATTGATCTCATCGATAACATCGTCATAAATGTTTAATAAAATCAGTTGATCTAAATCGTTGGAATTTTAATTGGGGTAATTATTCAGTAATTTTAGAATATAAACACGTGATATTTTATAATATTATGATTGGTGGAGAAGATGAGTGGGTGAGGTATTGTGCTGAGTGATTGAGGAACATGAAGAGACATATTAAATAATAATTAGCCAGAGAATACATACACGTAATAATCCGATAATCCTTTAATTACCCTCTAATGGTAATGAATGGTATTATTGTGTTGCTTTCATATAAGAGAAATTGGGAATAGCTTCTCTCTCACCTGGAAATGAATTAGCCGGTGCTATTGTTTGCCTTGGCGGACATGACTCTAAGTCCATCTCGTTAATCTAAACTGTTTATTGCGTAGTTCTTGTTGAGTATATTATCTGTACAAAAAAGCATATTAATCGGAAATCAATCGCTAATTGATTAAATTACATTTGTGTCTATGATTTATTTTTAAAATCATAATTGTCATTGAAACAAATGTAATCTGATCAAGTAGTTATTGATATTCGATCAACTTAATTTTTTAAGGAGATGATGAACTGGACGAGCTTTACACATTCAATGATTTGAATCATTAAAATAGGCATAGAGTCAGGCCTACCGCGACTCAACAATACCATCCAATTTGATTACAAAGGATAACAAAGTGAGTAAGGATCCTCTAGAGTAATTTTTTCCTAAAGTTTCAAAAGAAAAAGAAAAAAAAAACAGAACAAAAGTATCAAACGAAAATTATATCAATATAGTTGCTTCAGTTTTAAACATACAATGGCAAGTGTATCCATCAAACTTATTCAAGCTTGTACCATTACCATACGAGTGTAAAGCATATTCAAAGGTCCCAATTTCTAATTCAATCAAAATCATTCCCACACTAGCATAGTAAACAATGAAAACAAGCCTCAATGATCAAGAAACACATTAGTTTGGGTCTGTAAAGAATTTGTTGACGGCTGGCATGATCTCTGGAGACTTGTTGCGGACAAACTTCCGAACAAAATGCTCGGCGTACTTCTCTCCTTCTGCATGGTTATCCAGCACACCTGCAGCCCTTTTTTCTTTGTTCACCCTATTATTTTGTGAAAGAAAAAAAATTGTTAGCTGAACCACAAAATAGTAGTTTCATCTCAATCCAATGCCACCTTCATGCTCTATCTACATATTCTCAGTGTAAGAAAGAAAACATGCCACTTTTTTTCCATTCAAAGTTCAAATCGTAACAAATTAAAGTGTTCAACAATATTTGCCCATAAAGGGAAAAACACGAGACTATGACTTCTACGATGTGGCCTTGTTTGGTTTGTATTGGAGAAACATGTTTTGAGATAAAAAGTACGAAAATTTGTTTGGTTTGGTTTTTTTTCAAAAGATGTTTTGAAAAATTATTTTGAGAGAGAGTTTGGAAAAGTGGTTGATTTGATGTGTATGAGAGAGAGATTTGTTTGGAAAATTTGTAAACCAAACAAGTTTTGAAAAAAAATTTTGAAAAAATTTGTTTGGTTTGATTACTTTTGAAAACTTATTTGTAGAGAATTTTTCTCAAAATTTTTTGAAAAACACAAACCAAACACAAGTTCTTGAAGTGCTTTTAGCAACTGCAAGTTTTTCACTATGAAGAAGGAACATGTTCCTTGTGACAAGAACTTCTGGGGGCATCTGTATAACAAGAACATGTACAAAATTTCTTCCTATGTTTCTGTGACAGAATTAGACGCAACAAATTTAAATGCATCAGCATGATTTTGACCAACCATTTAGATTGTGTGGCAGGAATGGAGAAGGGGAATATTCTAAGCCTTCTTTATTCATTCGAGGTCTTCTTCATTCCATCACGTGGACGATTTCAAGAATGAAATGTGATTCCTGAATAGCATTCCAAGATGGAATGAAAATGTCGTACGAAGCAAGAATCTCATTCCCAAGCTCTCTCTCCCATGGGAATATCATAGTCACAGAGGGATGTGAACCTTTAAATAGTTAAGGCCTCGTTTGGGAACAGGCTAATTTAGTAACTTTTTGGCTATTTGGCTAAAAAGGTAGGTAAAAAAAACTTATATGTTTGGGATGACTTTTTGGCTAATTACGAAAAGATGTGCAAAAAGTAGAGAGAAAAGAGAATCTTTGACTTTTTGGTATGAGTTGTTGGCTTTTTGGCTAAAATGATAACTTTTTGACTAAAAAGGTAAGTCCCCAAACGGTTATAAAGAAAATTCATCATAATAGCTAGTGCCCACTTTTCAAAAACAGAATAAAAATTTAAGAGTAAAAACTTTAACTAGATAGGATCTTTTACTAATTTATGATATTTGTGAGATTATATTTTATTTTTGTAATTCTTTCAAGGACTAAATAAGTTTGATTTAAATATTTTAAGGACTTAATAATAGACCCTATCACAAAGCTCTTTATACTTTAGGGGTATAAAGTGTAATAAACCCTTACTTTAAACAAAGTAGTTAAATTCCTTGTTTTAGAATGATCAAAATGACAAACCATACAAAGATCCAAATTAAAAGAAGATAAGTGACCAATCTGTATGGTCATCATCCAAGTGCATAGAGCAATAATATCCTAAGCAACATATGATTCTGTAAATTATATTTATATATATATATATAAAAGTAAACTAAAGTTAATTATTTAAATGATTGAGTTGGGAGTCAACAAT